AATTGAGAAAAAGAAGTGCGACAAGCAAAGTAGAAGAGAGAAAGATCTCACGTATCATTCAAATCCATTCATTTTTATTAAAAAATAATGGCAGAACACATAAGCGGCCCCTTGAACTTGTCAAGATTTTCTGTATAGACACCTTAACAAGAGATCCTTCCAATCGAACACTTAAACCACTCAAAAAGTGTACCTATCAAACACACTTGGTTGACTTGTCACCTGTCGTTTGAGGCACGCCTTTTAAGAGCGTGAAGTGAGAAAAAAAGCTGATGTGTTTGATTGGCACACTTAACGGTATCTAACCCACGATTTTTTTCATTTTTTTATTTCTCATCTCTTTCTTCTCCACATCTAACCATTGTTGCTGAAAATAATAAAAAATTCTTCATTCATCTTTTTCACAGAGAAAGAATTGTTCAATTTATCAATTTCAACTTCTTCAAATGTTCTAACTTTCTCGAATCAGTCGCAGAACATGTCTTATTCACCTCTTGAAAATGTCTTCTTCCTTCACTCTCTAAATTAAGTTAAAATTTAAATTGTGTTATTAAAACAACATCAATCCTGAGGGTTGAATTAAAAAAATATGATTAAACAATATCCATAAACAAAGTAGCTAAAAATAACTAAATAAATACGGAGTTGTACCTTTTTGATTTCTTGATAATTTCAAGTTTTAATCATATTTGTTAATAATAAAAAAGAGAGGAAGAAGAAGAATTGAGCTATGCAAGTTAGAGAATATTGGTTGGAAGGAAAGGGGAGGATAAATTATGAAATAGTTTTATATTGTTTGGGAGGAAAGGGGAGAATAAATTATGAATTCTTTTTATAATAAAAATAAAAAGAACAATAGAGATCATAAAATTATTAATGGTGGAATTTAAGTTGGCAGTGAGGAGGAGCTTCAAAGAAGAAGATGCAGAGGAGCTGCTGAATTTGATAAAAAAAATTTGTAAAAAATATTTTTTTTTAATTTGCAACATGTCACGGTATGATTGACTCTTTTTTCATATTATAGTGTTTGAAAGTCACGCACTTTATATATTTTTGGGTAACATCATTGAAGTGTCTAATAGACACACTTTGTGTATACATGAGGTGTTCAATGGGAATATGGCCTCATTAAAGTGTCTAAACGAAATAAGCGTGCACGTTCCTATCTGGGGCGGTCTGGTCTAATCGAAGTCAACTGACTCACATGGAATACGGGGTTCGTTTTCACCGAGCTGGTCGCTTGAGTCTAAGTTCAAGGGGCTGCTCATGTGTTCTGCCAAAAATAATCTCATCCACCATGTCATACTTGTGCCTCTACCACCATAAAATTTTGATTATATTTGTTTAACAATTCTTGGAACAAAACCCCTAAATGACTTAACTATTCCCAATCTATTATCCTTTTTTTTATTTTATTTTTTTTATTTAATGTCCATTTTCATTCATATTGAAATGATTATTGTAATTTGATGATTTGAAGAACTTATTTTTTCTCCATGTTCGATTTGCTATATAGGTTGATTTTTTTTTCAGATTCTTTTTAAAATGTAGCATGTCGATTAATCACTTGAACTATTGGTGTTTTTTTTTAAAAAAAAATAAGCTTCACGTATTTGAACAATTTAAGTAGTCGTAAATCTATGTTAGTTTAAACTTTAAAGTATATTTGAATAAAAATAAAATAAAAATTACCGCGCTATCAAAGATCTTTGTAGTGACACATCACACTTCAGTGTGTGTGTGTGTGTGTGTGTGTGTGTGTGTGTGTGTGTGTGTGTGTGTGTGTGTGTGTGTGTGTGTGTGTGTGTGTGTGTGTGTGTGTGTGTGTGTGTGTGTGTGTGTGTGTGTGTGTGTGTGTGT